TGGCCCTACATTGGACCTCAGTTCAAAATATAGTTATTACGTTGGTTCAACGTTGATACAAAGCTGTTTCTTGAAATTTCAATGACACAATCATTCCTCAATACAAATGTCTTACAAAATTAATTAAATTCCGAATTTTTATTTCCCAGATTATACGACACAATTAATTTCACCATGTTTGGTCAAATACTTTTTTCCTCCTAAAATGTATCACAATATATTCTTTGCCACTTTCACTTTCATTAAAGTATTCCATGGAATGTAACTGAAAGAGGGAAGAGGTAGAAAGTTCAATGTTTCTCAAGTACACTCCACATCACTATGTCCACTACTAAATATCACTTTGATATAAGAGTCGTCAAGTTCTAACTGTAGAGTTTTGAAAGGTCATATTTGCATCACTTATCACTTTTTCTGCTGTTTATCTGTTCTTAGAATTCATGTTTCCCACACATATAAATCAGTCTCTTCCATATACAGAAATGCCACATCAATAGTCTCAGAGTGAAGAGGGTTTTCCCATCCCGGCAATTCCTGCAAACGTTATGATTGCCATCAATTAAAATAGTATTTTCAAATGTTCATCAGCATCACACATATTTTTAAAGCAATCCTTAAAATTGAATTTCACATTAGTAATTATTAATAACAAATACAAAATAGTTACTTACATTTCACTGGTTAACATTCTTGCGTTCACTTACAGATCCGGACATATTTGCTCTGTTCAAGCCCGCCAATTCCTATAAAAGTTAAGGTCGTCATCAATTACAATTGTTTAATCAGCTACCTGGTACCAATAATTTGAAAGCCTACATGCAGGCGATTACAATGTTGTGTATTTCACATTATTAATAATTTCAATAACAAAAACAAAAGCTATAATTACATTGAAAGGATTAAAATTCTTGCTTTCACTTAAACAGACACATACGCTTGGAATTGTTAAAGTGCGCGGTTAAAAAAACTGATTTAAAGATGACGGTTTCCTTGGATACCTATGAGTCACCTGCCGAGCCAGTGAATTTCACCAGTGACCTATTTATTTTGGAGCCCAAAACTTGCAAAACACAGCACTTTAAATTTGATTCAATGATGCTAAATATAGAATCTACCAAGATATAAAATTACTATATGTATTTCACAGACTTTTAAGGATTGTCTCATAATTTCCATTCAATATATAATATAGATCACATGTTTATAATGAGTTGCTTATTACATTACCATCAATTTACAATAATAAATCTAAATTGATGAATACTTTTTGCAACATTGGGCCAACGTTGGACCAGCATTTCATCTCAAACATTACAGGCTACCTGTACATGTACTAGTAATCCCAGTATTCCTACTATTGGACCAACTCCAGTTCAGTAAAGCACGCCCAACACAGAGCAATGCATCATTATATTGTCAATATTTATTAAGCTGGACCAACGTTGGGCCAACATCACATGCCCAACACCGTTGGTTTAGCTTTCATGCAAACGTAAATGAACGTTGGACCAACGTTGGGCCAATATCACATGCCCAACACCATTGTTTTAGCTTTCATGCCAAAGTAAATGAACGTTGGACCAACGTTGGGCCAATATCATATGTCCAACACCGTTGGTTTAGCTTTCATGCCAACATAAATGAACGTTGGACCAACGTTGGGCCTACATCTGTTCCCCAACGCCAACACTCCACCAACCATACAACCAAAAACCAACGTTGGCCCAACGGAGTCATGCTATCTGGGTGGTGGCTCTTAAAAGAGCCGTTTTGGTACAAAACACTTTTTGTTGTTTTTTGGTTTTTTTAATTTTTTTTTTGTTTTTTTTCAAGTTTTGGATTGGAGTTGCGTCCAGGTGGTTCTACTGGTTCAGGAGTCGGTGGACCATCTGGCCGGGTTGTAGAGAAGAAGATTCCTCCTCGGAACTGTCCCCGTCTGTGTTCAGCAGTCCCACGGGCGCCTGTATTATGATTTCTCTGTTCCTACAAAGAGGACAAGGCAGGTTCCTCTCAAAGAGGCGAGCAGCGCATAAAACGCAAGCGGGTCTTTGACGACAGCGTCTGCAAACAAAATTATTCTCCTCCCGCTCTGACAAACACAAAGTGCAAAGAATTTCCTGAGTGGGGGCGGAAACCCCCCAGGACGGGATCCTACCTTGGTTGTGAGCCTGCGACTGTGGGTTGGGGGTAACAGGTCTGGGCGGTGGCGGGGGTGAAGAACGGGGTGCTGGTGGTGCTTCCCTCCTGTAAGGGTGGGGCCTCCGATGATGATGATGGCTGTCATTGACTTGCATACGTGCTAAATTCATCCTCACAAGCTCCCTCCCGTTATCCAGCCTCCTGATGACTAATTCGTTCTCTACAACAATTCCTGGAATGAGGTATAAGTCCTCGTAAAAGAATCTTCCAGCCATATCTATCTATCTTCTTCTTTTCTTCTCAAGGCAATCAGCTAAGAGCAGAATGATGCAGAACGCTCGGAGGGTCTGTATTTATACACAATAGCAGACGATACTGCAATTGCGGCAAAACATCAACAATCCAATCATGTGATTAAATGTGATTGGCTAAAAGAAAAAATCGCTTTTGGTCATGTGATCAAAAAAAGCCCCATCACAGTGACAAAGCAAAATTGAAGTGGGGAAAGGCCGAACCCGAGTGAATCTATGACGTCATACAATAACATAACAGTGATGTAGTATTACATGATTTTATTTTATTTCTTAAAAACTAACAAAGCTTCTAACTGTCGAATTCTCCTCCGAAATCGTATTCGATCTGCTACTAGGGCCATCCAGGGATTTCTCCGGTCTTCGGGGGGTAATTCGTAGATTTGATTGAGGCTGGTATTAAAAGTCACTGATTTCCTAGCCTGTGTGAAATTTCCAGGTATTTCATTCCGTATTGAATACATACTTTCTCCATCGCATCTATGTCCTGCCACAGTAAAATCACTTTGGCCGCTTGGGGATGGGTCAGGAAACTGTAAGGCTTTCCGAAATAACGGGTCAGGTTCAGTCCGTACCATTTCTGGGGCAGAATTGTTTTCATATGTCGACATAGAAAATGTATGGTAGCTAGTCTCCCCATGCTCGTCGCATGATGTGATAAGGTTAGGCATTGTAACCACAAATCCTGAAGGGTTTCCATGATAGTGCTCGCTTCCTGAAATACTTGTTCTGACTCCGGGGGTAGCGATTCTTGGTGGTTTTGTGCCCATCGTACTAAACAATCATACCCATTTAAAATCAGAGAGTGAGTGTGTATCAGGGTTGACATGATAGTCGATTGTGAAGAAAGGATCAGACTTTTCTTCTCATTTATACCCCCGTAGAAAACGTAGGTAAAGGTATAACTTGAATCGCTGCCAAGTATTTACCTGTGTAGTCAGCATAAAAAACGTAGGTCTATCGTATTTTTTGCACACGGGCCCCCCTGACTTGAATCGCTGCCAAGTATTTTACCTGTGTAGTCAGCATAAAAAAAAAACGTAGGTAAAACGTATTGATGCACACGACCCCTAATTTTTTGCACACGGCCCTTTACAGGTGATGCAACAGGTATAAAAAGCCCAGGTATTTTTGCACACGGCTCACAGCAGGTATATAAAGGGGAGCTGGGATTTGAGGATCATTCTTGCTTGACATTTCGAACTTGACAGACGTGAAAAATATTATGGCAGAAGCAATGATGAATACTCCAGACAACCCCAGCTATGTGACACCTCAAGGGTATGTAGGAGCCCCCATGCCAGAGTCACAGGATGCAGTGGGATTAGATTTGGGCATGTATAATCTTCCAGAATATGCAAATAAAGAAGATATGGGGATCTTAAATACAACTCTGGATGGAATTGTTAACATGCTGTCTGGTCTTGACAACAAGATGAATGATCTTAACAACAAGCTGAATTATATTGGCGAGAAGGTGCGTCATCATGACAACAAGCTGAATTATATTGCTGAGAAGGTGGGTGATCATGAAAACAAGCTGACTGATCTGAAAACTTACAACGCCAGTGAATTTTGTTTGATTCGTGCTAAATTATCCAAATTAGAAGTGAAAGTTACTAACATGCAAGATAAAATGAGAGGAGGAGGAAGCACTTACCAGAAAAAAGAAGGACAAGGGGAATCGGGAGAAAAAAAGAAAACTAGACAGACGGATCCATGTTTCATCTGCAAAGAATTAGGGCATTGGGCCCCAGATTGCCCCAAGAAAGATTTGTGTTACAAGTGCGGGAAATTTGGCCATTGGGCTAATCAGTGTAAAGAGGATGAGGAGGATCAACAATTCGTCAAGGAAATACAAAAACTGGAGAAAAAGCCTCAAGCACCCAAGATTTCAGGGACTCACCAGACCAAACCTTTAGTGAAAGAAGGAGACAAAAAAGAGAAAAAGGAAGAAAACAGAGAGATTCCAGGCCCCAGTACTACTCACAAGAGGAAACTATCCCTGATGACCGAAAAGGCACAGAAGAAGAAAAAGTAAATGGTTGTATTTTTTTCACTTGAATAAAATAGCTGTGTTCTTTGTTATTGTGTGTTATTTGTTATTGTTTTGAGGAAATCCAGTTTGAACCGGCTGGCTGGCTAGACCGTCTAGACTGTGAATGAAAGCGTGACGTCATAATGACATTCTTTTGAATCGCTGCCAAATTCGTAGTAGCAGCGTATAGAGTATAATGTAAACACAGTGTAAACACACCCCTATATTTAGGGGCTATATGTACTGAATTGACCCGGCTATCCCCCTCCAGGGGCTGCACTCCTTTGACCCACCTATCCCCTCCAGGGGCTGCACTCCCTTGACCCACCTATCCCCCACAGCCCCAAAAGTGCACTCAGTTGACCCACCTATCCCCCACAGCCCCAAAAGTGCACTCAGTTGACCCAGCCATCCACCTATCCCCCACAGCCCCAAAAGTGCACTCAGTTGACCCACCCAGCCAGACCCCTTATACTACTTAAATGCTTTAGTTAAAGTTTAGAGAAATATATACATGCATGTATAGAGAGAGAGAGAGAGGAATCGAAAGTAAGCTAACTCAAAAAAATTGGGTAAATTTCAGATTACTTTTGAACAATTTGTGGTAAGGCATGCATGGATCAAAGGGGATCTGGATCCCTGGAATATTCAACTTTATTATACCCCCCAACTAAGTTTGGGGGTAAATAAGAATCAGTTTGTCCGTCTGTCTAGCTGTCCATCTGTCCATCTATCTGTGCAAAAGTGTCCGATCCATATCTTCCTTAATGAGGAACATTAGAATGTACTACTACACACAAAGATTGCCCATGACCTAAGTGTGTGTCATGACCTTGACCCAAGGTCATTTGGGAAACTTCAAGGTCAATGGAAGAAAAAAAATTTAATTTGTGTCCGGTCCAGATCTTTCTTATTGATAAACTTGGTAGGTTCCTATTTCACATAAAGATTGCCCATGACCTAAGAGTGTGTCCAGTCCATATAGGTTCTCATTTCACACAAAGACTGCTCATGATTGATTGATTGTATATTGATTGTATATTATTTAACGTCCCTCTTGAGAACTTTTCACTCATATGGAGACGTCACCGATGTCGTTGAAGGGCTTCAAATTTAGACCTATACTCGGCACTCAGGGCCATTGAGCAGTGAGGGTTCTTTATCGTGCCAACGCCTACCGTGACACGGCACCTACGTTTTTAACGTCATATCCGAAAGACCCGTGACTTTCACTTCTAGTGCCGAGCGCTTGGCGAAGGTACAGTCACTACCTTTGTTTACGTCTTAGGTATGACGCGGCGCCGCGATCGAGAATCGAACCCGGGCCTCCTGATCACGAAGCGAACGCTCTACCACTAGGCTACTGTAACCGGTATAAGACTGCTCATGACCTAAGAGTGTGTCATGACCTTGACGCAAGGTCATTTGAGGATTGATTGATTGATTGATTGTATGTTGATTAACGTCCCTCTCGAGAATTTTTCACTCATATGGAGACGCCTCCACTTGCCGGTGGAGGGCTAAAAATTTTGTCCTATGCTCGGCACTCATGGCCTTTGAGCAGTGAGGGATCTTTTTCGTGCCATCACCTACTGCGACACGGGGCCTCGGTTTATACTGTCTCATCCGAAGGACCGGTCTCCACGTCCCGCAGTGGGATTC